TTCTTTTTGATTTGTGCTATGTCTGTTGTGATTTTTCCTCTTTCGTTTATGATTCTGTTTATTTGTGCTTTCTCTTGTTTTTTCTTTGTGAGCCTGGCTAGTGGCCTGTCTATCTTGTTTATTTTTTCAAAGAACCAACTTTTGGTTTTATTGATTTTTTTGGACTGTTCCTAACTTCCATTTCATTCATTTCTAATTTGTCTTTTATTATTTCTTGTCTTCTGCTGGCTTTTGTGTTATTTTGTTGTTCTTTTCCCAGTTCTTAAAGGTGGGACATTAGGTTGTTTCTTTGAGTTATTTCTTGTTTCTTTATGTGAGTTTGTATTGCTATTTATTTCCCTCTTATAACTGCTTTTGAAGTGTCCCATACGTTTTGGAGACTTGTGTGATCATTGTCATTCTTCTCCAGTATATTCTAATTTCTTCTTTGATCTCCTCATTGACCCAATGGTCTTCCAGTAGTGTGGGTTTTAGTCTCCTCGTGGTTGGTGGGTTTCTTGCCTTCTTCATATTTCTAGTTTGATTCCTTCATGGTCAGAGAAAATAGTTGGTATCATTTTGATCTTAGTGTATCTATTAATGTTTATCTTGTGACCCAGTATGTTGTCAATCCTAGAGAATGATCCATGTGGATTTGAGAAAAATGTGTACTCAGATTTTCTGGGGTGCAGTATTCTAATGATGTCTGCTAAGACCCATGTTGTCTAGGTCCTTGTTCAGAGCTTTAGTGTCTTTACTTATTTTTTGTCTTGTTGATCTGTCCATTGTTGAGAGTCGCATGTTGAAGTCTCCCACTATGTATGTATTCTCTCTGATATACATTTTCATGGATGACAGTAGTTTTGTGATATATTTTGGTGCTCCTTCATTTGGTGCATATATGTTGATGATTGTTATTTCTTCTTCTTGTGTTGTCCCCTTAATAATGTAGTGGCCTTCTGTATCTCTTTTAACCTTTTCTAGTTTGAAGTCTATTTGATCTGATATAAGTATAGCAGTTCCTGCCTTCTTTTTTGGTCCTTTTGCTTGTAGGATTGTTTTCCATCCTTTTATCTTCAGTCTGTTTTTATCTTTTGTAGTTATATGTGTTTCCTGCAGACAACAGAATGATGGTTTCTGTTTTTTAATCCATCCTGCAACTCTGTGTCATTTTACTGATGAGTTTAAGCCACTTACAGTTACATATAATATTGATATACTGGCACCTACATTTGCCATTATGGTACTTCTGTATTTTTATTCCTTGTTTTGAACTGTTCTTGATCATTCTTCTGTTGGATTTGGTTTGAGGGCTTTTGGAGTGGGGGTTTAGTCATGACAAAATTGTGGAGTTTCTGTTTGTCTGAGAATGTCCTTTTTCTTCATAGAGGAAGGAGAACTTCACTGGGTAGAGTATTTTTGGTTGGCATTTAATGCTTTGGAGTTTGTTGAGTATGTCCCTCCACTTTCTTCTTGCCCGTAGTGTTTCTTCGGAGAAGTCTGATGCCATCCGGATCGGTTTCCTTTTGTAGGTTATTTGTTTCTTCCCTCTTGTCATTCTCATTTTCCTTGTCTTGTAATCTTGGAATTTTTATTATGATATGTCTTGCTGTTTTTCTCCTCTCATCATGGTAGTTTGGGGTTCTTCTTGCTTCTTGGATGTCTCCTTTCATCTCCTTCATATTAGGGAAGTTCTCTTCTGTTATCTCTGAATATTTTCTCTGTTCTTTGGCCTTTCTCTTCGCCTTCTGGGATACCTATAACTCTGATGTTTCCTTTCCTAATGGTGTCAGATAGCTCTTGAAGTGTTTCTTCATTCCTTTTCCTTTTTACTTCTCTTTCTTTTTCTTTTTTAATTCTCTTTGTTGCTGTGTCTTCGAGTTCAAGGGTGCTGATTCGTTCTTCCATTTCATCTATTCTGTTTTCATAACTTTTCCCAGCATTCTTTATCTCTTCTGGTGGCCTTTTCATCACCTGCATTTCTTCCTTCTATTTCCTTTTTTTAAAGATTTATTTATTCATATAGAACTGGGGTAAAGGCCAGAGGTACAGAGGCGGTGAGAGGCTTCACCAGAGACAGAGTGGGGGGGCAGAACAGGCAGTTCGACGAAGTACACTGCTGAGGGGAGCAGCGGGCTGGTCAAGAGAGGTCTGCCGCGCCATGTAGTCACCTCTGAGGCAGGCATGGATCGAACTCATGGGGAAGTGGCTTTCGATTCTTAGTGCTGCGCTTTAACCCGCTGCGCCACCAGGGAGGGCTCTATTTCCTTTTTTAATGTCTCATTTCCTTTCTTCAGTTCACTGATTGTCTCATATTTTTTTCATTTCTTTCATTCATTTCCTTGTTTGCATTCTTCAACTCCTGGATGGCTTGCCTCATTTCATTTTGTTTATCATCTGATTCTGAATTTTTTATCGGTAGGTTGAGCAGTTCTTCTATTTCTTTGGTGGTTTCTGTTGACTGATCTTTTTGTGGTGTATTTCCCCCCTGTGGACTTGCTTGAATATTTGTTTGTCTTCTTTTCCCTGTTGTGTATTTTCTAATACTTTCTATTCACTGAGACACGGTGTTGCTATTATTGACTGGCAGTTTTTTTTTTTTTTTTTTTGGATGTTCTTTCTGGAATAGCTGAGAGACTTCCAGACCCTTCAGTTTTGGAGGGTATTCTGAGTTGTGTTATTTTTCCCCGTCCCCACTATGTGTAATTGTTCATGTTGTCTCAGCTGATAACAGTCAGGGGTCTCTTGTGTTGTTCAGCCTCTTCTTGTAACATGTTGAGTCTGTGTTTCTGGAAGGTGTCTGTTGATCTTTGTAGCCTTTGGATGTCCTAGGTTCCCTCCATGCTTGGTGTACCCGTGGTGGTTATGATGAATTAGAAGTGTTGTAGGTCTCCCTGGAGCTGGGTCTGTGGCTGAGTTGGTGGCTGGGTTTGTTTATTATTCTGGCTCACATGTCTTCAGGCCTCTGTTGTGGGGGTGGGATCTCCCCCTCCCCACAGGAGTGCAGGGGAGTGTCAGAGGGCTGAAATCCTCCCAGCTGAGCAGGCTGCCAGTCATCCCTCTTGAGCTTTCAGGGCTTCTTTTGTTTAGTCTAAATAGTACCTCCCTGAGCAGTGCCTCCCCACTGCCTGAGGTCCTCTCACAGAGCCCAGCTGTACCTCTTCAACTCCAGGGTTTTACCACAGTTTTTGTGGATAGATGTGGTAAGCAGGTAGACCCTTTATCAATTCTCCCCATTTGAGGCACTTTCTAGGGCCTCTCTATGTTGAATGTGCCCATGGAAGATTATTAAAATTGTTGCATTATCCTAGGGTTGGGCCTGTGGTTGGGTGCTGTCTGAACTGTTTTTGTTTGTTTGTTTGTTTGTTTGTTTGTTTGTTTGTTTTTCCCCTCTTTAACTCAGGGGCTTTGCGAGTTTCGCTGACCACGTCTTTTTTAAGAATGGCGCCAAGACCTGACCAAACCTTAATTTTGCCTAGTCTCAGATCTCTGTTGTGGGGGCAGGAGATGCACGTAGGGCTAGAGGGGCCCCAATTGTCAGTTCCTCTTCTCCACCTCACAGGCTCTAAGTAGAGCAGTTTTTTGTTTTTTGTTTTCTCCCTTTCCCCCGCAGCAGCTTGGGATTCACTCACCTAGCTGTGTTGTCTCAGTTTATATCCAGGGCTTTGTAGGGTTTGCTGGGGCAAAGGACTGCAACACCTATGCGGCGTATCCTCGTGTCTCTGTTCCAGAGCTGCAGCCTTTTCCCACAATTTGGTTTCCTCTCCCTAGCTGAGTTGTCTCAGTTTATCTCCAGGGTTGTAGCAGGGTTGGAGCAAAAAGCTGCTCTAGCTGTGCAGAGCAGCTGCAGCTGCCAGCTGCTGCAGTCATTCTCCCTCTGCAGCGCTTCCTGGCTTCTGGGCACCTAGATTTTTAAAGGAGTCTTAACGAGTAGGAAGCCACTGGCATTCCCCCATCAGAGTTACAGAGTTCAGCTAATCCTGCCTCTGCGGCTTCTGGTTAGGGATTCTCTTATGGAAACTACCCAATTGCCGATTCTCCCTCAGTTTTCTTCCTTCTAGTGAGTCCATGGGTTTCTGATTTGGATTGAAACTCGTAACATGTAAGTGTATAGTCCATTTTTATATATTCCCGTGCAAGTTTGGGTGTAGTTGTCTTGGTGTCTTTATTCTGCCGCCATCTTGCCTGTTCCCAAACTGGTTGAGCTGGTCAGCGGCTTTGCAGGCACCTAGATACTCTCCATCAATCGGGTCTGCAGTTTCAGAGGTTTTTCCCTGTACCCTGGTGTTGAGGATCAGATTTTTGGTTTTTCCTCTGCCTGGGCTCCACTCACTGAGCTGAGCCGTCCCCCTTCACCTCCAGGGCTGGCAAAGTGGCTTCAGCAGCCAGCTGAACTTCCAGGCACCTGGGTTTTCTGGGAGTTCCTTTATGGGAACTCCCCAATCACCGATTCCCCCTCAGTTATCTACCTTCTAGTCAGTCCAGGGTGTTTTCATTTGTGTTGAAACTCGAAGTAAGTCTATAGTCCGTTTTCAGCCCTCAATTTCTATGCAAGCCTGGATGCAATGATCACTGTGTCTTTACTCTGCTGCCATCTTCCTTTATTCTTGCAACATCCATTATTATAGTAAAACTTAGTTTTGAACAATATGATTCAAATGGTCCATTGTTTGATGAGGCTTGATTAAGAATTTGCTATACATGTCAACAGGTCAAGATGGAACTCTTCAGTCATTTTCCACATTACATGAAAAATTTAACAAGAGCCTGGGACATGGTAAGTCCTTTTGCAAGATGGAAAAAAAGCACTGAAAAGATTTTGTTCATTAAGTAAAAAAATGTTTTCAGTTTTGTTTACATCAACTTTTTAAAAGCTAATGGCATGATCTGATCATGCATGTATGTGCTTCCAGATGAATTCCATGATCATTTTAAAATCGGTATCCAAAATAATTTCTCTTGGACTTAAATTGTAGAAATTTTCTATCTTTAGAATCTTCACAACTAGAGAGATAATAATGCTTGTTCAAATTGTCTTGTTTTTCAATGAAGTTTTAGTTTTCTTCCTCTTGGTCCCTACATATTTAAGATTTTTTAGTGTTAGAGTTTTAAAATACATGTAATTAATGTGATTAAACAATCTAATGCGCTTTTTTTTTTCTTTCATTTATTTGCCTAGAACTGGGATTTAGGCCACAGGTGAGAGGCTGAGACTTTAGAGACAGTAGAAACATTAGAGACAGTGGGGAGCAGAACAGGTGGATCTACTGACACACTGCTGAGGGGAACAGTAGGCAAGACAGGAGAGGGGAGAGGTCTGCTGTGCTATGAGGGTTATTTCCCTGGCCAGGGATTGAATTCAGGCTACAGCAGTGATAACACCAAAATTTAAACCCTAGGCCAACAGGGAGGCTCCTAGTGAACTATTCTAACAATTATTTGGTCATTTCTTTTGATTGATATGATTGTATGATCATATCATTTGCAAAAAATATATATATGATATTCATTTTATTATGTTTCATTTATTAATTGCATAGGCTAACTTTATAAGTAGTTAAATAATAGTGACAATGCCATCTTTTTTTTTTGCTCTCCTGACTCGAATAGGTAATAGGTACTATCTTGAAACTTATGACTTTCTTTTATTTTATGTATGTGTTTCTTTAAGGATTAATAGCTATGTTCTGTTTTTCCCAAACTTCCTTTTTCCCTCCTCAGGATTAATAAATAAAAAGAGAGTCAAACGTAAAGGACTTCAAAAGACCATGTCAGTGAGACTTCCACCTATCACAGAGTTTGTAGCTGGTAAGTAACTTCAAATTTTGTTTTGAGAAGTTCTACTATATATTTCTCTATTTCTGTAAATGTTTTTGAAAATACTAATAAGTATTTGCAGGTAAACCCACATACATTTAATCTTGTGTGAAAACTAAAAGTGAGTTACAATTTGGTATGTATTAACTTCCGTCTTTTTTTCTACAAAACCAATCGACAAAGCACATTTGATGTTTCAGTTTGTAATCCCTTCATTTCATATATGCATGACATTATTAAAGTCACTAAATGCAGAGAGGTAAGAATAGTGAACATACAGTTCTAATTTAATAAAAACACACTTAATATAGTATGTCATTTGAGCAGTGCTTCATTTAATAAAGTAATCTTCAAAAAAAATGTGGACTAGTGATAAGTGCAAGCTATCTTAGCAACAAAAAGAATAGACATCGTTTTCTTTTCAGATTCTTGTTATAAGAACCTGCCGACCAGTGAGGTTTTTGTTGTTTTTAACTTTAATTTTGATCATTCTCCCATGTGTTTTCTATCTTAGAGCATTAGTGATCTTTCTAAAATGTTAATGACCTGCTCGGAATTCTTTCAGTGACCTCCAGTTACCTTTAGGGTTAAATCTCCTTGCCTTAAGGTACCTTTTAAGACTCTTTAAGAGGTGTAATGGTCCCAGTTGCCTTGTCCACCTACTTTCAAGAAAGTGCTTTACTTATTTGCTGTGCTTGATTTTGTTGAAGTTACTCTGAACATGTGTGTGCATAGTATGATTGGTTAATTTCTTCTTGTTTTACTGCTTCTTCCAAGAAGTCAATTACTACTTTCCCCAAAACTTTTAGTAAACTCTTGAGTGTTCTTTTAAGACAATGTCAGACTTTTTTGTAAATTCTTCCAATCAAAATCTCTTATTATATTGAAAGCTTATTGCTATAAGGAATTACTTGACTTACCATTGTGTCTTCAGTGCCTAGTGATAACATGGAGTATTAGACTTAATAAATAATAAGTAAAAGAAAGAGGAAATATACAGCATGATGATTTGTGATTTTCATTGTTTTAGAGGAAGCTCGTGAGAGTGACTGGGATGGTATCATTGCTTGCCATCAGGGTAAGCTGTCTTGTTCAACCTGGAATTATCAAAGATCTACAATAGGTGCTTACTTTCTCAAGCCAAAAGAGCTGAAGAAGGATGACATAACTGCTACAGTAAGTGAACTTGTTTATAAGGATACTTTTTCACCTATCATATGTAATCTTGTTATACTCAAGTGTGTTAATACTAGTATTGGTTGAAAGAAATAATAGTATTGGTTTTTAATATTTAGAAATTTTGCATTTTATTTTGAAATTGATATTTAGTGTTGACTCTTCCAACTTCCAAAGAATTAAATTAAGCTATACTTAGTCATATGTAAGCAAATACTGCTTATTTTGATTTTCTAATTAATACAGGATTACTTAGAATATACTTTGAAAATGATCTCAGCATTTATCTTGTTTTTAACCTGAATTATGTTGCATATACGTTACTGTGTTCTGTGAATGTGAATCTTAAGATTTCTTCCTTTGAATTTGCTTTCTTTCTCATTCACTTAGAATGTTTTCAAGGTTCATCCATAATGATATGTATCAATATGTATCAATACTTTATTCCTTTTGTGGATACACCGCTTTTCATTTAGTCGGTCATTGATTAGTTGATAGATATTTGTGTTCCTACTTTTGACTAATGCTGCTGTGACAGTGTATGCAAGTTTTTATTTCTTCATGTTTATGCCTAGAAGTAGAATTGTTAAGTCATAAAACAACTACACTTAACATTTTTGAAGAACTGCCAATCTGTTTTCCAAAAATCTATTTTATATTCCCATTTAAGAACGCATAAGGTTTGCATTTTCTCTGTGTCCTAACTCTTGTGACGATTTGTTCTTTTGATAATTTCCATCGTAATGGCCATGAAATAATATCTCATTGTGGTTTGATTTGTGTTTCCCCAATGACTTAATATTTGAGTATGTTATGAAATTCTGACTGTTTATATATCTTCTTTGGAGAAATGTCTATTCAGATAATTTGTCCTTTGTTTAGTGGGATTATTTGTCTTTTTATTATTGAGTTAATAGCTCTTTGTAGATCTGGAAACAGATCATTTTAGATAAATGATTTACAAATATTTTTCCCATTCTTTGAGCTATTGTTTATTTTCTTGTTAGTGTTATTTCCAGCATGATAGATTAAATTTGAAGATGAGGGCCCTCCCTGGTGGCGCAGTAGGTTAGGGCACTGCACTGGGGGGCTTAAGCCTCTTCCACATGAGTTCGATCCCCACCTGCCCTGGAGGGGATCCACATGGTGTGGCAGACCTCTCCTGACCCGCCTGCTGCTCCCCTCAGCAGTGTACTTCGTCGATCTGCTTGTTCAGCTTCCCACTCTGTCCCTGGTGAATCCTCTCACCTTCCACATCTCTGGCCTGTACCCCAGTTCTGTATGAATAAATAAATCTTTAAAAAAATTAAATTCGAAGATGCCCAATAATCTTTTTTGAATTGCTTGTGATTTTTGAAAAATTACTGCTTTAGTCATGGTCATGAAAATTTATTCCTATGATTTCTTTGTCCCTTATATTTATTTAGAGGCTATAATCCTTTCTGAGATTATGTTTGTGTGTGATGTGATACAGTGGTTCAAATGGATTCACTTGCATAGGGATGCATTCACTTTTCTCAGTATCATTTTTTTTTTAAGATTGTTATTATTTACTCTTTGTTCTTCACACTCATGCCAAAAATTATTTGACAAGAATGTAGGGTTTCTTTCTGTACTCTAAATTCTATAAAGCATATATAATAGTACCATACAGTCTTAATTATTGTACTTTTGTATAAGGTGTTTTAATATGCTTTGAAGCTAGAAACATTCAAACCTCTGAATTCGTTATGTTTTTTAAGATTGTTGTGGCTATCTGATTTTTTATATTTCTATATGAATTTTAGGATTAGTCAATTTTGCCAATACAGTTTTGCCAGGGTTTTAAAGACTGATTTCATAGATTCTATAGCTAAATTTGAGCAGCGTCACAATCTTAATATTCTGATTTGTGAACATTGCATGTCTTTGCATTTAGATCTTTCATTTCTGTGAGTAGTTTTGTAGTTGTCCGGTATAAGTTTCATTCTTCAGTTAAAATTTTTCCTGCTATTTTGTTCTTTTCAATGCTGTTGTAAATGGAATTGCTTTCTTAATTTCATTTCAGTTATTCATTGCCATTTAAAATATAATTGATTTTGTATCTTAGAACCTTGTGGAGCTTAATTTTCAGTTATCATAGTATTTTTTTTTTTTTAGTGGATGTCTCTGCTTTTGCAAATGCTTATTAAAAGTATGACTTCAACTTTGAACCTACTTTATACAGATTTCTTTTGTAAGAAAAAACAGGAGTTATGTTCCCCATGGTACAAAATTCAGTCTTAAAAATTGTGCACGTTTTCTAAGCCATCATGATTCTATTTTAAATTTTTTAAGATTATCAGCACAGTTTTGAGTAACTGTTATAGAAATTATGTGATAAATGAGAACTGCAGTGGTAAGGAGAATTATAACTTTGTGTGCTGTTTTTCTTAAGTTTTTCTGCCTAATACAGTATTATTTTATATTTTCTTTACCATAATCCTATGTTATAGTATATTGTTAACCTCTTAATGAGCAAAAAACTAAGACTTAATGTAATTAGACATGCTAAGTAAAGCTAGTAAAAGGAAAAGCTTGGATTTAAACATAGAACTAACCATTCTAGATCCTGTGTTTTAACTTGCAGCCTGTAGTGATCACTCATAGAGCAATTAATTTGTTAATATATGGTGAATTTAGCTGGTGTTGTCATTTGTGTGGCAGAGCCACCTACCTAGAACAGTTCCAGAAACCATTAAATAATAAAGACAAGTAATTGTTAGAGAACCCATACTCTCAGTCCTGCTATTCAAAGATAATCCTTTCAGTGTACTCGTTTTTACATGAATTGTAGATCAGAATAAATTAGAAAAAGAGATTATGCAAAGCAAATCATTAATAATAATGAATCCTGTTAAATAAGAGCAAGTTCTAAAAAGTTTCATGAGGCCATTTGAGACATATATTACTTATAAGTTAAAGGTTATCATCTGCATTCGTTCCTGGGAGCATATATTACAATAAGGCATAAACATTTATGAGCTACTCAAAATAAAAGTCAGACCATATTTGTTTTCTCTTTAGAAAGATAGAATGCATTTTAATATTAGTGCATAATTTTTTTATCTGAAATGCTGTTTTGTGTTTAATAATATTAGTACCATGGTTGAAATCATCTAGAGAAATATATGTAAGTGAAATCTGTGGAAATATGGTTCGATTTGGATAGTTATCAACTTAATGCTGCTTCACCCCAGTTTTTCTTTTCAGTCTTAGATGTTGCTTCTTGGCATAAGTACAGCAGCATTAAATTGTCTCTTGGGTGATTTCTGACTGACAGTGGGTATTAGGGATTCTCTAATCATGACCCAGTATATTGTCAGTTTCATGTGTAGTTTTTTTTTATCAACTGTTAAAACAATTACATGGAATAGTTCACCTTTAGTACTGCTCTGAGTGATTACAATTGAAGACCCACTGATGTATATAATACTCCTCATTTGTAATTTTTTTTTGTTAAGATTTATTTAATAACTGATTTAATTTGGGCCATGTTTTATTGCCTTTGATAATTATTTCTTCAGACTTGAGAATGAAGAATGAAGCAGAGATTTCTTATACACCCAAACATAATTATATTTTATTTAAGAAAATGAGTGAAAGCATTCATTTGCCATAAGCTTATTTTTTGAAAGGTGATAATTTTTAGATAAAAATACATTGGGAACCATAAAGTGCAATAAAAATGTTAAGTCGTTTTTTTCCCCCTAAGGCAGTGGATGTAACTTCTTGTGGAAACTTTGCTGTAATTGGTCTCTCATCAGGAGCTGTAGATGTATACAACATGCAGTCTGGCATACATCGAGGAAGTTTTGGCATGGATCAAGGTATTAACTTCTTTTTCCTTAATTTAAAAAAAAATAATGTAGTCTAATACTATTGTTGACAATTATTAAATTCTTGAGTGCTGAGCATTTTGTTAAAATTATTATTATTAACCTACATGGTAGGTATTAACATTGACCTTTTATAAAAACCATGTTGGAAAATTTGGGAAAAGTAGATATTCTACAACTTAAAAAATTTTTGTTTTTTTCTTGCTTTATGTAGAACATTTTAATGTTCAGTTTTTTAAACTTTATGGCATCAACCTGATGAATTTTATACTCACTTACTCAATATTGTAATTTTCTCTCTACCTCCTGAAATCCAGATTAAGCTCAAGATTGAGGAGGATAAAAATAGTGACAAATCAGATGTTTTGAAGTGTTGTGTTCAGAGAGGCACTGCCAATTCTGATTTCTTTTTTCTTTTAACATGTTTAAAGCTCATAAAGGGTCTGTGAGAGGTGTTGCAGTAGATGGATTAAACCAATTGACAATGACAGCTGGTAGTGAAGGATTGCTCAAGTTCTGGAACTTTAAAAACAAAACTTTTATCCATTCTGTGAGCCTTAATTCATCTCCAAATATGATTCTGCTCCATAGAGACAGGTAAAATTTTTCTTCCATAATAATAACAATAATAACAGATTTTCTTATTAATGTTTTTAGTAAAAGTTCTTAATTTAGATGAAGTACATAATATGTCAAGTGGGAAAAATCAGTCTTTTCATAAAGAATAGCATTTTACTTAATTTCTCCTGGGGGTGGGGGGGAACAAAATGAGATTTGAGTTAAAATTTGTTTATTTATCAAAACTGGTGTATTTTTCTTGCTAGTGGCATTCTGGGACTTGCCTTGGATGACTTCTCCATTTGTGTTCTGGACATAGAAACCAGGAAAATTGTCAGAGAATTTTCTGGACACCAAGGCCAAATAAATGACATGGTAAAACAAACTTACGATGCTCAAACAAAACTTGACTGACTTCTGTTTCTAATTGGACCAAAATAGTTCAAGTGGTGAAACTGGTATTCTTTAGTAGTATTAAACTTATTATATGAGGAGATGCTAAATATTATATTTGGGAGATTAATTTTCATTTTTAACACTTAACTATTCTTTTTTTATTTATATATTCAAAACCTAGGGTATCGGCCAGAGGTTGGGGTCAGGGGGTGAGAGGATTTACCAGAGACAACAGTGGGAAGCAGAACAGTCAAATCTACTGAAATACACTGCTGAGGGGAGCGGCAGGAGGGACAGGAGAGGTCTGCTGCTCCATGTTTGTTAGCCTCCCTAGCCAGGGATCGAACTTATGCCCCCGTGGCTGGCAGTAGCTTAATAGCACTGAGATGTTAACCCCTGCACCAAAAGGGAGGCCTTGGAGACTAATATTCAAGTAAGATACATTATTTTCCTTTAATTAATGTTTTTAATTGTCTTACCTTGTTCATTTTTTTTACCATATTTGATTTCTCCCCTCAAGTGTAGTCCCTATTAATAACTCACCAACACATCACCCATGAACCATCACCATGGTGTGTGCTCTTCTCACCCCTGTTTTGACCCCTCGTCCCCTGCCCTACACCAAGCCTCAGATCTATAGTTGCTTATAAGTTTTGTCTTTTTTTTTTTTTGATGCAATATTTTTCTTTTTCCTTCTGACATTATTTCACTGAGTGCAGTCCCTTTCAGCTCCATCCATGTTTCTGCAACTGGCACATGTTTTTATCTCTTTGATTGCTGAGTTGGCTTCCATCATGTATATATACCATGTTTTGGGCCACTTAAGATTGTTGTTTCCATATCTTAGCTGTTATAAGTAGTGATGCATTAAACACAGTATTGTAGGTTTCCCTTTGAGTTAAAGTTTTTGTGTGTTTGGTTACATTACTAGAAGTGCAGATGCTGGGTCATACAGTAGATCCATTTTTAGTAATTTGAGGATCCTTCACACAGCTTTTACTTTCCATAGTTTGCAATAAGAAGGTTCCTTTTCCTCTACATCCTCAGCATCATTTATTGTTCCTAGTTCTTTTTAATATGGACTACTCTTACTGGTGTGAGGTGGTATCTCCTTGTGTTTTGATTTTCAGTTTCCTGGTTATAAGTGATGTTGAGCATTTTTTTTCATATGCCTATTAGCCATTTGCATTTCTTCTTTGCAAAAGTGTCTTTTTAGCTCTTCTGCCCATTTTTTGACCACACTGTGTACTTTGTTTTTGTTGAGTTGAGTACTCTTTATAAATCATTGATATAAATCCCTAATGTATTTTATGGAGCACAAGTATTTTCTCCCAATATGTAAGGTATCTCTTTATTTTGGTTATTGTCTCTTTTGCTGCTGTAAAGAAGTCTTTTAGTTTGATGTAGTCCCAGCCGTTTATCTTTTCCTTTTTTTCTTTGCTT